GTCGAGTACGGTCTCCATGTATGAATACGTGTATTGACGTATCCATTCTCCCCAAGATGGTTGAGCGGTCAGTGATATCATATGCAGAGACGCTCACCAGTCATCCTCACTATTTAAGGGAGGATGACGGGTAGGGTCGCAGTCAACACTAGAAGTCGCACTTTTGCAAGGAGCGGCGGAGGCTATATTGGAGGCAGAAGACCAGGTCAGAGTCCAGTTCGGGCACCACTGAAGACAAGATCCGGATTTCAGTCGCAGGACGCGACTAACGTATAGTATTGGAGATCAGCTGAGGAAGGTGCTAGACACCGAAATATTCGAAGGAAGTATTAGAAACAATAAAAAAATTTTTGCAAGAACTTTTGGATTCTTTTGAGTCTTTTGAGTTTTTTGCAATAAATTTTTTGGCGCCTCTTTCACGTGTTTCATGTTCAGATTACAATGAGGCTCCGGGACAGCACCATATTAAAATTGAAGCGTTGAACTAAATAGCACGGTTGAAATAAAGAAACAGAGAAATATTAAAGACTGTAAGATCGCAATCATGTCACACATGCGTGCACGCTTGTGTGCGAGCGTGCGTGCGTGCGCATGTGTGTGGGTGTGTGAGTGAGTGCGGGTGAGTGTGAGGAAATATGAGGAGAGGAAACGCATGCCTCGAACATATTCACGCCTAACTAGTGCAAAATTTGTAAGGTTTCAGGTAATTCTCCAATGAAAACGAAAAATCAATGAGAACTAGCTAAAAGCTTTCGCATATCTTTGTTGGGAACTCACCTGATCTTGCTTGCGTCAGCTCTTCCTGATCTTCCGTATCGTCTTCAGGATTCATCGCTTCCCAGTGACCTATTGCGGACTACAATAAAGTTCAAGGTAAGGTATATCTCAACAGGAAAGTCAAGAAGCAAAGAGTAAACTTAAAGGCAACACAACTGATCAAACCCCACTGTGCTTGATGTAGAATCCCCGATCTTTTCGCCTCGGTTCCTAGTGCGTGGAGAAAGCGGAGTGGTAGCCGGCGACATTGCGACATGTTGAAGAAGTGGTTTTCGCCGATCAATGAATGTCTGAAGTTTATATTTCTTTTGAGACCCCTTTCGTGATGGCTTCAGGTGTAGAACCAAAATATACATAACACTGCCATAGTGTGGGGATTATTTTCAAAATAACCATGCCACAAGTGCCTGGTAGGTGCATGTGTCAATCATGGGCCAGTCCGAAGAATAGCGTGCCTACTTCAACGAATCTGTCTGAGCCGCGAAAGTGGCGCAACGGCTGTGAAAATAGAGTGGGCTGAATTTTTCACGGAAGAGATCTGCAGCCCATATGGGAAGAAGAAGTGAGGAAGTACGCACGGTGACGACTGCGCATTCTGATTTTCCTCTCTTTTATTAGGTTGTCCGGAAAGTTCTCAGCGTTTTGAGTGTTTCACTTTAAACGATCATAACTTTCTTAATACTCATCGGATTTAATCGAAATAAGCACCGTTCGAATCAGCACACTTTTGCCAATGTGACACCAGTCGAGAAATCCCATCAAAGAAAAAACTGGGTGGTCGAGAATTCACGAAATCCACGAAGGCTTTTTTGCCTGGTCCTGATTGATGAAGAGGATAGATCTGCTGTGATGGTTTGGCCTGGTGACAAAAAGTTATAGTGGATCACACCAGCCGATGACCACCACACTGTGACCATAATCTTTTTTCGTGAGGATTCGGCTTTGGAAATTGCCTCGGTGGTTCGTCGGCATCCAACCACTGTCCGGAACGTCTCCTGTTATCATACATGATCCACTTTTCATCACAGGTGACAATTCGGTCCAAAAACGGGTTCTGTTGCGCAAAAGCAGTGAAGAAGAAACCTCGAGACGTGCCAATTTCTGCCGTCACCGGGCACTCCACTTAT